CCGGATTTGAAATAAGCGCCAGAGCGCGGGAAACCAGCTTCTGCAAGCTATTACACCTGTTCCCCTTCCTTCCCCCCTAATAGAATTGTCAGGCAAGTGTTAGAATAGGTTCTAGTATACTTGTGTGGTGTATATCTTAACCTTCATGTCTTCCTGTGGTGTATACATTATAATAGGTAATACATAAGCTTTAAAGTGAAAAAGGGCACCAGAAACAAATGGTCCTGTACCTTGTATAGAGCTTGGAAGAAGGTCAGATGGCTCTAGACATATCTATACATGTTATGCAAGCATGGGGAAGCAATTTAGAGGCCAGGATAACATGCAGAGATGCAGGCAGGAGGTCAGAACTCCTATTGCACTCATGATAGCTTGGACACTGTTCTCAGCCTTTAGTAATGAATATCGCTAGGTACAAATGGTTGTGTGGATGCCCTAGCACCAGTAAATAATATATAAAGCTCTGCGGAGCCTTATCACACTGGGAAGGGGCTAACCTACACTCAACAACATGGGTATGCAAACAGGGCTTAAAAACACCACATATGCAGATGTACAGAAGCCTACAGGCAGAGATAAGCTAAATGCAGCTACATACATAGTATGGTGACATATTCTGACCCTCCCAGGTGGTGATTCCCTTCCCACCTATGCTGTAGGAGCCAGGCACACACCTGCGCACAGATGGTGGTTTTGAACTGGTCAGAACTTGATCAAGGTGTCACTCCGGGGTTAACTGATGCACTGCTCCACCAATACATGTCCCCTGGACCTAGAAAGTTGTATACCCTCGTTTTGATAGGCTAAGAATCGATTGGAAATGGTCCGCTTGTTCGATTCTAAGTGGTTGAGCCAGTAGGAGGTGTTTTCGACGAGATCAGCGTATAGGCGCCCGTGAAAACACTAAGATCTGCTTAATCGGATGGCTTCCAAGGCCTGGGATCAAAAATAAACCATAGCCGTCTTATCCTGGGCTAAAAGTGACATCTTCCAGCATGTGAAAACATCTGATATGTGTCATTTTATTTGCCAAGCCTCGCAGGCTCTACAGAGAGTTTGTGGATGCCTCAGGCTCCCCACACCCTTGGGAAGGATTCTAGTGCCATCTATCATGAGTGTATAACATTAGAAGAGCTGTAGGAGCTTTGCAAAGGGTTTCCTGCTACTTTCAGGCCCAAAGAAATCGATTTTTAATAGAAACAAAAGTATAGTATATTATACAGCAGTTATATTCACTCTAAACTGCACATAACTACTCTACATAGGTACAGGTACATATTTCAGAAGGTTTGGAGTTCATTGGACAAAGGGGAGGGGAGAAATTGAGCCAAAAATGGCCCCCAAAAGCGAAATTGATGTAGGGAGCCAGATAGCCGGGTAGCAGCTTGGTGGCACTTGATGGAGCTGATGGGGCTTAAGTCCGCGCTATATCCGCAAAAACTCGACTCTCGGCGAGTATTTTGTGAATAGCGGGCTCAATATTGGTTTCTGACATATGTTTAGTATAGCAAATATGTTCAAACATATGTTCTCCACCTTCCCATGTCATAAAACGAAAACAAGCGCCCAAAGCGGTATGTTATGGCATGTCTCCCAAATGTGGTCTATATTTTAACTCCAGTTGATGGAAACACCATATATAGCATGCCAAGAGGTGCCGGAGAGGCTCTATAGGCCCTACGCAGTTGCTAGCTCAGTTACTGGTAAGTAATACATCGCACACCATAGTAGTTACTGCTACATGATTAATCAAACATGCACCAAAGGGTGAGTTTAACTGGTCCCTTCGTCCTTGCCAACTCTATCCACCTCTCGGCTAAATCGGCTTAGCTGGGATAAGTGGTTCGCTCAACAGTGTTCACAATCACTACCTCTCAGGAGACAAATACGGTACCTGAAACCGTAGAGACAAAACAGGAAACCGTCACGGAATTCAGACAGCGACTGAATATCCAAGAAGACGACACTCCGTGGGAACTATTGACAACATACGAGCAATCTCTCGAGTTGTTCCTTACCCCACAATACTTTGCTTACGTAGACGATACACACGATCCCCTGCTGGGTATTAATCATCCACCCACCCGTGTTTGCCGCAAGGTAGCTTGTGCCGCCCAATGTGCCGCCGTAGAAAGAGTCATACGGCCCCTTCCCTTCGCCTCCATGTTCCTTCTTCTCTCAGCACCTCATGAGCCCATCCACCCGGCCATCTATCTTCTCAGCTCTACTTACTGCATGCCCTCACACCCATCTGTAGCTGTAGCAACCCTGCACCTCTCTTGGTCATCTTCTATGCTAGTCATGGTGAATAGCATTCCTCGATGATGGTTTGCTCGTCGCTCCGGCAACATGTGCAGCCTATCGAGTCTTGGGTATTTGAAAACCTTGTAAGCTGGAACAAAGAATCCGAGGGCAATGATGAGCTTGTCCGGGAAGACCAGGCAACGCGTGGGTGCATCTGGACCTGAAGTGCCACCACGTGCACTGTGCTTAACAGACTCCATAATCTCGAGACACTCTCCTGCGAGCCTTTGGTCTTCAACGAGCAGCTCTTCCGTGGCGAGAACTGTAGGGTTTTCCCAGTACCCCTTTACGTGGTTAGCTTGCCATCCTTGCTCCATATAGTACTTGCACAGGGCACTGGCAGCATCATTCCAGAGACTCGTCCATATAGCTGACCCCGAAATGATAGCTCTTGAACTTTGGTCCGCTGAGTGCAGCATGGCTGTCGTCGTCTTAATACCCCATTTGAGATACTCTTCATATAGCTGTACATGAAGGAAGCAGAAACGGATCATGTCTGTTGGATCAAAACTTTCCGAGGGGTAATATACATGTCGCGCGACGCGTGTCGAATTTTCTATCATCTTTGCCTGGTCTGGGTAAAGCGAGTGAGCAGAAGCTCGGCAAAAGGACACTACATAACATACCATAGCTTTCGAGAAATGCATCCATACCCAGCTGCAGCATATATTCACGTGTCAAATGTGTAATCTGATGTAACAATGTGAACGTGTGAAGCAGTGCTTTGTAGCAGTGACACGGGATCTTCCACAGAGCGGCAAGAATTTTCACTATGTCTGCCCTCCTGTCCATGTGGTCTGAAAACATCATGATCAAAGAAAGCCCTTCCTGCATGCCCAAGACAGACATTTTGCTGTGCTTGATCATCAAAAGTAGAACAGAGTGGGTGAGGTCCCAGACGTCTTCTAGTAACGGCTGTGTCATCAAGAGTTTCAGTTCAGTGGCCTAGACACGGGAACTTATTAAGTTACACTGGACTAGCCACTCAGAAGCGCCCATGAGTGGCTAAGACACTGAAAAGCCCAAAAAATGGCACAGGCAGGAATCAAACCCGCAGCCTGAAAGTAACCACGGCGCGCTATACCACTAAGGCATAAGACCTTGCAAACATTGGGTTGGAATTGGCCTATAATACCACTTTTCCACCTTAAAGTCTTAGCCATAACATCAGAATATGCCTTTGTACAATTACATTCCATTGCTTTAATACATAATAATTGGCTAAAATATAGGACTTTGGGCAGCTAAGACACTGATGTGGCTAAGACACCAGTGTGGCTAAGACACCAGCATAGCTAAGACATTGAGGCATTGAATATTTGCCATTGATTTCACTTGAGTATAATTCATCTACTCAGGTGTCTGAGCCACACTGGTGTCTTAGCCACACTGGTGCTTTAACCATGCCATTAGAATATACATATGTACAATAAGCAGAATCAATAGCAGATATTTAATATCTCAATGTCTTAGCCATGCTGGTGTCTTAGCCACACCAGTGTCTTAGCCATAACATCAGAATACACCTTTGTACAATTACATTCCGTTGCTTTAATACCTAATAATCAGCTAATATGACTTTGGGCAGCTAAGACTAAGGTGAAAAAGTGGTATTATAGCCCAATTCCAACCCAATGTTTGCAAGGTCTTATGCCTTAGTGGCTGCAGGTTCGATTCCTGCCTGCGCCATTTTTTGGGCTTTTCAGTGTCTTAGCCACTCATGGGCGCTTCTGAGTGGCTAGTCCGGTGTAACTTAATAAGTTCCCGTGTCTAGGCTGCTGAAGTTCGAACTGAATCAGCTCGTGTCATCTGGTGCTCGAAAAGGTGCGGTTCACGGGACAGTACTGTATACAATGGTTGGGCCTCGGCTGTCGGGAGATTGGGATAGTATGGGCGGAGAAGTTCGGCGTACATGAAGTATAAAGCGCGTAAAGACGCCCCTCTGTCCCAGTTATCATATATTGGACGCAGACGATGGAAAAGCGGACGAAACTTGAACACGTCCTCGTCGTGGCCTGGAGCTATCCATTGAGCAATCGATTTCTTCGCAGCTTTGAACCCCGGCCCATCAGAGAGAAGGCCGCGAAGACACGCCTGCGCAGAGCTAGGGAGTGGATATGGAGAGCTGGAGAGAAGAAGAAATGTTGCCTTGTGGAGCCAGTCGGGACTGGAGTACAGCAAGGGCTCACTTGGGCGGCGACTGCCTGCCAGTTCGGCGAGCATCTCCATGAAGATATTCCATTCCTGAAGGGGCAGCGGCGTGAGATCCGGAATGGTGCGCAACCTGACCGGAAGGATGTAGTCGATGTCAGCCCCGAGACGGCCGACAATGAGGCGAACAATGAAAGCAAGCGACTGGACTGGGTCACGCAGGAGCTGCTTGGACACTCCCCTTATTGCCGGAAGCAGATTGTCGTCGATCATGATGGTGGCTATGGACAGAAGAATGTCGTTATCGTCCTTACCGCAAACTGGACGCAGCTGACGACATAGCGATCGAACTACAGATTCCCGATCGTTAGGTCCTAGAGCTAACCATTGAATGAGCGACTTTGCTCCGGTAAGCATTTCAGGTGCTTCTATGAGAAGGTCGTGAAGACAGGTCAATGCGGAGCTGGGGAGTGGGTACTGAGAGCGGGAGAGCAGGAGTAGTGTCGCTTTGTGCAACCAGTCGGGACTGGACACATGCAGGGTCCTATGCGCACGACGGCCCGCCAGTTCTGCGAGCATCTCCATGAGAGCGACCCATGCTCGGCGGGGCAGCAAGGTGAGGTCTGGGACGCACCGCGGCCTGATCGGGCGGAAGCGCTGCGCTTCGGAACCAGTACGGCTTGCGATAAGCTCAGTGATGAAAGCAAGCGATTGCGCAGGATCGTAACGCTGCTTGACCGCGTCCCACATCGTCGGAAGCAGATTGTCGTCCGCTATGATGGCGTCCATGGACAGGAGGATGTCTCTGTCGTCCTGGTCACCGGTGACTACCTGTTCTTCTTCGTCATTGTTCGCGGCATGCTTCCTCCCCGGGTGTCCGGCTATACCCGCCATGTCTGACACGAGAGAAATGAGCGAGCGACGCATCTTCATGGTGACCCGTGTCCTCGCCACTCTCATCACAGATCTCAGCAACGGCATCTTGTACGGGCATCGCGGCGAGACAAGTGGAGCGAGTGTAGTGGCAAGGAAGAAGAACGCCCAACCGGAAACAAGCGGTACGCAGGTGAAGCCCATGCGTCCATCAACATTCGCGGTAAAGATGCAGAGGCCGATGAAGAACAAGCCGAGAGAGAGTTGGATAAGCATCGGGAGGATTGCCGCAATTTCGAAGACTTTCCATCTCTCCAGTCCCGGTTTCCGGTACTGTCGTGCACGAAGACGCTCCTGGGGAGCGGTGTATTCGACGGCGAGGTATTCCCGCAGCCATTGCTTGACCAGCATGCCGAATGACGCGGTCGCGAGGCTGATGATGAGGCTCGCAAACCAGAGACCGTTCACGCGAATGGCCCATAGGGGCGCCATGAACTGGGGGAGGGGGGCGGCGGGCTGTGCGGTGGAGTTAAGTGTGCCGGACGTGATGGTATAGCTTTGGGTTTGCATAGCGATACGTTCGAGTAGAAAGATCATTTGGATGTCCGTATCGGGCTGAAGGATCGTGTACGACGCAATCAGGAAGGCTGACAACACGGCCGAATATAACCAGCCTGTCGTTAGGAAGATATACGTTAGAGAGCGACACAAGTCAGAGGCGGTCGGACGTACGAATACTAGAAGGGTATCAATGTCTTCTTTACAGCCCCGGACCTTGTCTTCATCGACTTCGCGCACAGTCCTGGTCATCGTCTGCCAGCCTGTCGGAGGGGACACCTCAACATACCGCACGCGGTCCTGCGTAATTCAAGTGGTTAATATTGAGGATGATGTCTGTCTGACGACTGAGATCTCACCGAGGTGTCCTGGTTCGGCATATGTAAGCAGAGCGCAAAATGTGAAAAAAAAGTAATGCAGTGAGTAGGAGATAACACGCCCGCAGGATACTTAAAGGCTGAGCATAACGAACAGCCCCGTCCATCTCTTGATCATCTCCCAGTCTCTTACGACAGCGCAGCTGTGCCTTTTCCGTGCTTGACGGAGAGCGCTCTGTTTCCTGGACAACGTAAGCTGACTGCGGGTTCAACAGAATGTCAGCTGGTAAGTGCAAACCTTATAATTACACTGCTCTGCATAGGTATATGACAATCGCGCCAGCATAGTAGGAAATTGACCATACCCGGTACTGATGTACTGACTGCGCCACAGATTCGGGAAGCTGCGGAGACCGCATTGATTCCAGTAAGATCTATTATAGATCAAGATGTGATAGCCAGAAGGCGATACATGCTGTACAGGACCATCATGGGCCTACTTACAGTGGCTTGCGAGCGTCGAGAAGTTGTAGGCGGTGAAGCCGCGAGCCAATCCTCCGCATAGCTCGCCGAGAACAACAACGGTCCTGTCACTTGGTTACACCGCGACGCCAAATTCCGTCGCTTGGAGTCCGATTGATGCAGCAGTAAGGTGTACTGAGCGGTAGATATGACGGTATATGTATAGCGGTCTTGACACGAGAAGACAGCGACTCGGATACTAGGCCTCGGCCAAGATCCGCGGTCCATAAGCCGGAACACGACGATTCAAGGCCTTCAAATGTTAATCAAGATATCGCAACGTTAAGCGTTTAGTGCTGAAATTGAAATTTGACCATTGGAGTGGAGTCGCAAGACATCTTTGTCGTTGTGCAGCAGCGTAGTAAAGGGGTCGAGCATTGCAAACGCGCTTAGAAGGTTTGTAGGCGATTCTTACCGTGGGAATAGCACATTTTCTTACTCGATAAGCTAAGATGCGGTAAACGCTACAAATCACGCACTGAAACCATGCGCGTACCTGTTGCCGTGCCTGTCGCCCAGGATATTGTTAATTTGCGCTCCAACGTTATTCGGCCCACGCATCTGTCCTGAAGAAAACCGGACCTCCAGATAGGCAAGCGAGCAGGAAGCAGCCCACTTGGTTGACGGCCGTCAGTGTCATTGTGATTTGTCCATACCAGTCTGAATGTTAGTAAGGCATGATCGTGTGCTCGCTGTAGTTCCGTACGCGCTGTGCAGTGCGCCGTCTTTGACTCCGCCTGGCCCCTTCGTATGTCTCTACAAGGGTGATGAGAAGACGCTGTTGACACACAGGCAGGCTTGGAGGTGCGAGAATATATTGATGAAGAGTGGCAAAGCTAGCAAAGACCGCGAGTAGCCCAAAAGAGACTGCAGAGAGCCCACATCTAGCCTCTGATATTGAGCGACAGGGAGGCGAAGTACCGATGACTCATGGACCCACGCTCAACGACCCACCATGCACCGTCCGACTGAAGAACACTAGAGCTTTACATGCGCCTAACAGCCTTCCCTTGCATTGAGTATCACGTCTTGAGCATCATTCGTACAAAAAATACATGCTTGTCGTTCCTTTTCACTTTCCTTTCCTTTTCCCTTCGGGTTCTCTCCGGCATCCCATGCGTAAGCGGCAGGCTCGGGCAGCTCAGAGCTTGGAGCCGTTGACAGCCTCGAGGAAGCGCTTCTCGGCCTCCTCGAAGTTGATCACGTTCCAGATCGCGTTGAGATACTGCCGGGGGAGGAGATACACGCGTCAGCCATCGCGCAGCGCGGTAAAAATGACGGGGTGAGTGGAACGGCGCAGAACTAAGGAGACAAGGGGGAGGAGCACACTGGAGAACGCCGAAAAAGGTGTGATGAAGCGCGGCTCTTGACCTATCCTCCCCCCACTCTTACACTTCTTGCACTTCTTATACGCGCAGGCGAAGGAGAAGAAAAAGACAGGCCGACACAACTCCAGCAGAAGCCAAGCACAAACACAGACCGGAAGTGGACGGGAAGAGTAAAACAAGCACGCAAGATGAGACCGAAGGAGGAAGACTCACGTCGACCTTGACGTTGAGGTACTGGAGGTAGAACGCGTGCTCCCAGATATCGACGCCGATAATAGGGACGTGGGACAGGAGCGGGTCCTGGTTCGCGGTCGTCACGATCTCGACGCGCTTCGTGGTGACGTTCAGGCCCTGGAGACGTGATGAGCATCAACCTAACGCAGAGATGAGGAGAACGTACGGCCCAGCCCCAGCCGGAGCCCTGGATGGCAGCGGTGGTGGTGTTAAACTCTTTCTTAAAGTTTTCAAAGCTGCCGAAGGACTGGACGATAGCGTCCTTGAGGGGCCCGTCGCGGAGGACACCGCCATTGCCCTTGCCCTCCGAGGACGAGGGTGCAAGGTTCTTCCAGAAAAGGGAGTGGTTGATGTGGCCACCACCGTTGAACTTGAGGGCTGCCTGGAGGGCAATGCGCTCCTTGGGGGTACTAGTCTTGGCGTAGGCCTGCTCGGCGGCGTTGAGGGAGTTGACATAGGTCTGGTGGTGCTTCTTGTGGTGAAGCTCCATGATCTGGCGGGAGATGAACGGCTCGAGGGCGTCGTACGAGTACGGCAGGTCGGGGAGTGTGTGTTGGCCAGACATGATGTGCAGTGGTGGTGGTGGTCGAGGAGGTGTTGGTCGCGGTGGGAGACAGGAGGACCGTATTTATCGTCTTATCGATTCGCGCAGTGACGCGATCACCCTTGCGTCATTTATGTCTCAGGTAAGCCAGCACGTGCCGCGCGTGTAACAAAACTTTCCCGTCGGCCGGCCACCCGACGTACCCGACGCGTCGCTCGTCGCTCCTCCGAATCCGGGCCCGCCGCCATACTAAGGAGGCTTAATGCCGCGCATTGCCAGATACGCGTCGCGCCACACCTCCCGCCTTGACGCGTGACGGCACATTGCGCTCGCCTAGGCGACTGACGCGTCGCGGGTTCCCAACTGGCCGAGCGTCTGCCATCTCTTCGTATTCCTTGCTACCGACGCTATACAGACACACGAGTCGAGGCCTTCGTTGGACGCACGACGCGCTCAAAGCGTGGACGCGTCATCTCGGTCTCTGTTGCGCCGGCGCCTCTGCCGCGCAATCCCCCTCGCTATCAGACGCCAAACTCCATCGTGCTCGCGTTCGCGTCGGGAACTATGAGCACTCTGGTGACTTCACTACTGCCCTTCTTTTATGTACTGAGGACCCCGGCAGCCGCAGCATTGAGGTCAAGTGATCATTCCAGCTGAGACTCGTGCATGCACAATGTATAGTAGTGAACAAGTATCCCGTTGTCTTTGTATTCACGTGAATCTCAACATGCAGACGATTCAGACAAAGGAAGCTAGCAACATGCTTACTCAGAAGGAAAGATGCGCGTTCCTATTATAGAGGCGCCCAGTGCTCGCAACGGCACGATGTTGCAGTGTCATAGGACCTTTTCAACGAGACCCACGCCTTCGTTCTCCAGAATCTCGCGAATCGGGTCGCAGAGCTCCTTCGTATACGGCGCGAGGATGCCCGGTGTGTTGATCATGCCGTCCAAAACGAGCTGCGTTGCGATGCCACAGGGTAAGCCCACCAGACGCGCCATTGCCGAGTGGCCGTCAGGTTCGCCATACGCCTCCAGCGTCGATGTGAGTGTGTCCTGCAAGCAGCCATAAGCGTCCCTTTTGCAACTGAGCCAGACAACGGGGTACGCACGATCTTGCCGTCTGCCCACTCGACGATAAATTTGTGTTGGAGCATCACGAGGTCGCGCTCGCCGCGCGCGTAAGAGAGCATCCCCTCGAGCCGCGCACAGAGAGTATCGAGCAGATTGCCCTGACGCGGCTTGACCTTCTCAGAAGTCGAGAACATGCCGATCCAGCGCAAGCCGGACACGACACGGGCCGCCTCGATCTCGTCCGGGAACGCGCAGAGCTCTCTGATACGGCTCACAAGCGCCCTACGGAGTACCTGTCAGCTCGAGACGTCGTACAATGCAGATGCGCGGACTGACCTTTCGTCAGCGTCAGCTGCACCAATGACCCGCTGCGTCACCTCCGCCCAGGTCAGCTCAACGCTCAGCCACTCCTTTGGAGCCGCACTGAGCCAGCCAATCTTGACGAGCGCCTTGACAAACTCGGGGAAGCCCTGGTAGCGCAGATTGCAGCGCAGCACGGTCTCTGCCTCGGAAATACGGTAAAACTCGCGGAAGGGCGCCGAATTGCGATTCGGGTACGCGACGAACGCGTACGCTGGCGAGATAAAGTACGGCTTAGCGTATTCCATAAGCTGGCTCCCCGGGACATCGACGATCTCTCCGCCTTCGAGAAACGCGGACGGGTTCACCGAGTTAATAAGCACCCCGCGCGGCGACCACGAGAACTTGAGGCCGAGCGGGTTGTCGGAGCATTCGGGCGCCGGGAGTCCACCGCAGCAGGATATGAACTGCTTGATCTACCAGACCGCTTAACACTTGATAATGATACCAAGAGCAATAGAAGCCTACCTTCCCTCCTTTCGCGTGCACTTCGTCTATCGTCTTGATAGCATACAGGTGGTCGATGCCCGGGTCTAGCCCAATCTCGTTCATGACGACAATGCCCGCCTCCTTTGCTGCGGCGTCGAGTGCGCGCATGGCGTCGCTGACATAGCTAGTCGTGACGACGTGTGTCCTGCCCTTGATGGCAGCCTTGATGACCTCGGCGTGGAGCGTGTATGGTACGAGCGAGACGACAAGGTCGTGGGCGCTAACGGACGCTTCGAGGCTAATCATGTCCGCGACGTCAAGCGACAGCGGCGTTGTATTTGGTAGACCGGCGCAGAGGGCCTGGGCTGTTTCAAGGGTGCGGCATGCTGTACTCGCAAATCAGAACAGCTGCGATACCGAACATTTGAAAACGACGCTTACCGACGGTGAGGTGGTTCCGAGGGTCGCGCACGATGTACTCTGCCGCCGGCTTCGCAACCAGACCGCTGCCTAGAAGGAGTACCTTCTTCGGCGGACTGGCCGGCACCAAAACTCTGCCAAAGTTTGGCAGTAAATCGCTGCCCTCCTCCAAGCAGACACGGCTGAACTCGGGTAGGGTGAACGCCGCGCGATGGATCCCCGTGTTGTAGTACCGGGTCGGCTCGACCTGACGCACGGGTTCACGTATATCGCGGCCTTCGTCCTTGGAGCATACTAGGAAGCCAATCTGGCCACAGGGATAGGTCGGGATGGTCGTGTATGCGTACCCTACGACGGGGAAAATTCTACGCGCGGTCCGGATAACCTCCGCGATAAGCGGAAGATGAATCCATTGGCATTCGGCCTGCGTCGCAATGTGACCACCAGGAGCAAGCGCGCCGTGCAACAGCTCGAAGTACGGCTTCTGGAACAGCGACTCCGCAGGTCCAACAGGATCCGACGAGTCCGTGATGATGACGTCGTACGTGGACGTGTTGTCCGCAAGGAATTTGAACCCATCGCCAATGTGGATCGTAACCCGTGCATCGTCCAGAAGTGCAGACATGTGGGGAAGGAACTGACGAGAAACACGTACGACGGCCTCGTCGATGTCGCATAACACCACATTCCTTACGCTCGCATGCTTCAAGACCTCACGAACCACACCTCCGTCGCCTCCGCCGATGACCAGGACCTTCTCGGGGTTCGAGTGACTGGCGAGTGGGAGATGGGCGATCATCTCCTGGTAGGAGAACTCGTCTCGCTCGGTGCACTGGATGACACCATCGAGGACGAGAACATTGCCGTATGTTTCAGATTCGAAGACGAGGACGTCCTGGTAGAAGGACTTTTCGACGTGAAGGATCTTGCGGACCTTGAGGGTCATGGCCTGACCTGGCCATTGCGACGAGATTTCGCGAAACCAGCCATCTGGCAAAGAAATGATGAGTGATCCTGTCTCTCGCATGCACAACGCACACAAACCTTGTATAGAGGGATGACTCAGCGGTGCCATGAGTTTTTGACGGGGAGGGTAGACGTAAAGTCGCAGAGATGGGTCGAGTCAGTCGTAGTAATTGCCGCCCGTGTTGGAGTCAGAAACCATAGTCATCGGCGTGGCGGACCGCCGTCTCTCCGTGGTGCCTACATGTTAATAAAGTTCAATCAAATCATGCTCGGTGATCAAAGAAAGTGCTGACCTTGGCCAATCTATCTTGCATATTCAGAGCTTTTTCCAGGTGCGAACAGCTCGTGTGATCCAACATAACAATCCGGGTTCAGCCGCTGCTTGTGTTGAAATTCTTTAGAAGGACAGTCTATGGAGTGTCGTTGTCATGATAATGGCGTTTATATGTAGAGTATGAGCGCGTACCATATTCAACATGGGAGGCCTATGCTTACTACTTGACATAAGAGCAATGTCGATGATACAACAAGCATAAAACGGGCAAAATATGAGACAAAAGAGAAAGGGAGGCCGCTTAAGGGCGCGATTCCTGCCTGTAGGGACCATTTCTTGGGCCTTGAGGTTGGTTTTATCCAGGAGTTTGAAGCAGCGACCAATACCCAAGACTACAGGGCTTGCTCCGCGCAAGCATCAGAACAAACAAGCGCAGGGAGGAAACGGCGCATGATACTCACCTAACACTTTATGCCCACTTCATGCAGACCAGCACAAGCTAACGCTGCTCTCCCCTCGTTGCATCGCAGGAGCTTATCTCCAAGCATCGTAGTGGCTTGGATGCGCGAGTCTTCTCAAAAGCAAGGTTGTTAATCGAGTGAAAAAGTGATATATCCCGGATTCAGAAGTTAACATAGGTAGTGGAGTAGCCCATAGAGCGAGGGAAGAGGCAGCGAGGTGTATATTAAGAGGAAAGTAAGGTCGTGGGAATGGAGTATTCGCTTTAGGTGCCCGAACCTTTGTGGCGTCATGTACCCCTAACCCTGATTTCATCAACCCGACTTTGTCCGACGTGGACTTGGCCTAAGTTTGATTGGAGCCCCTCCGTATCGTCATGTGGGTGGTGCTAGCTGTGAGGCAGAATACTCTTATACATCTGCAGTTGGTAATACTTCTTGTGTGGCAAGATACGACCAGCCGATGTTCCGCTCCGTACTATAGGATGTAACTTTTCGGCCTCCGGTCTTCATAACAAGCAAGCCCTCCGTAGCTGGGAATCAGGTCGGCGATACGCATACTAAGCAACCGTTCTCACTAATCCATGCGCTTGTTATCAGATGGTAAGCCAGCGGAACAAGCGACCGCACGTCCTGTGTACTCACCCATAAGGAACATGTCGGTAGTATCGAGCTCGCGAATGGCAGCCACTGTCCCACGCACTGCAGTCTTCATTCTGGCTGATTCGCGCCTGTTATGCCTGTATGAGCTCGTGATGCGGCAAGAAAATCATATTAGAGCATCTGCCCTAGACCAGCGTTCCGAGGCACTTTCCTCCGATCGGCGGCGGCTTTCATCAGCTCATCACCCGCTCGCAGGTGGCTCGCCCGTCGCTGCAGGCACAAGCGCCCCTAATTAGCCTTGTGGCGCTTCGAGTGCGTTGATCCATGTGGTTTTCGTTCCGCGCAATCAAATGCTGATATTTCCTCTCTATTCTTTAACAGAAGTAGTGAGATATGTGCGCCACATCAGCTTGGGCGGATGCGCAAAGCGGGACCGACGGGTTTCGCCAGATTGTAAATCTCTGGACCATGTGTACGCTGTGCCAAAGCTTGGTCTCGTCTCAACGCACAGCTTCGATTGTGGATGGTCGATGCCATTCAGACGCATGGAGTCTTTATCTTCTCCAGACGGTTATGTTTGAGACCCGCAACATTCTGGGAGTACCTCTTCCACACGCTCACCCGTCGTCATTGTCCGGATCGCTCTGACGCGCGTCCAGCGTGCTGGTCTCGTTCCAGAAGGGGACCGTGCTGCAGGCGCATACTAAGTCAGCATTAGATGTTTTGAAGGGCAAGATGAAGGACGCACCGGGACCGGAGCCTCTGGGTGTTGCCATCATTGTAGTAGTGCACAGTGTGGTTCAAGCCCTGGTGCGGGACGTGCCCGACATAGTGCCACTGGCCAGCCTCGAGCGTAGTGCGCAGGAAATCGACCAATCGAGGGATGCCGGGAGTGGGCGAGTAGACAAGATACGGGGCGCTCTCGTCTACGGTGTCAGCGCGATCTTGGAACTTGTAGGCGGCGAAGAAGAAGGTGAACAAGGAGTAGGCGGCGCCGATGGCACAGGTGTATATGTTGCCGGTACCGCAAGTTGCGTTGATGACAACTACGAGGGTATCTTTGATTAAATTCCGCGAGTAAGGGCGGGGATTGTACTTACAAGCATTCTTGACGATGACGGCCATGAGAAGAGACTGATCTGTAGCAAATCACGGTTAGACAGTGGAGGGCGGGACGGAGGGTGTACCCACTGTTCCTATACGTCCAGCCAGCACGGCGAACGAGCTCTGCGTCATGCGGAGCCATTACGTCCGTGCCTCTGTTATACTCGAAGACCTTCGCTTCGCGCGCAACGACATTGACCTCGCGGCGGGCGACATCGATGGAAAGCGCGGCCGCCGTGCTCGTGAAGGCAAGGAGGGCACCGAGGATAAGGAAGCGAGTGGGGAAGTGCATAATGCTGACTGTTGGAGGAATGCGTTGGAACCCTGCTACTCGTCTCTGCCTCCCCATTCACTTTATATACTCGGCCTCGATATCGGGAGCTTCTGTAGACGCATCCCAGAGCGCCAGTACTTCGCTCTGTACCGACTCTGACCTCGCCGGCCTTCGGTCGGGAGTTCCTAGATGACATATACAAACCCGTAGAGTCCTCGCATACAGTGCCCCTGACTGTCTACAGTGCCACAATACGTTATCCCGGCCGTGGAGGCGCGGCATCGGTTGAAGAAAAGCCATCCGGCTTAGTGAGCCGGCGAATTCTGCAGCGGTGAAGTCATCGGCGACTACAGCTGGATCTCCGACAACGAGGGTCCATACGATGCGTTCGGCAGCACGTCGGACGGCACGAGCTTCTTTGCGTCAAATGCCGGCGGGTACGCGATCAGCGAGACGGGCATTGCATCCTGTGCTGCCTTCCAGGACGCGGACGGCACGCTCGACAACGGGCTCCTCACTTACGGCTGGAACGGCCAGGAGTACCAGTGGACCGAGCCCGGAGAGGAGGAGGCTGCGTACAACGACTGCACCTCCCAGCTCGGTCTTTGAGAGCCGGTTGGTGGTAGAAACTCGATTTTAAGAACACCTGTTATTGACATCCTTCCTGCTCATAGTGTCGATGATATGGATATGTTCGATGGTGATATAGCTCGCAGATTAAATTCACGACGATATATGTCCGGAATTATATGTAAAGTAAACCGCTCCCCTCCGCGTCCTAGAACGAATACTAGTATCACCTGTAGCATGCAACGAGACTATGGGACTGTCACCAGCTCTCTGGCGCGAGTGCAATACCAGAAAGTTCGAGGAGATGGCTGGCAGTTCTGAGAGCGAGAAGAGTGTCGTGGGAACGGGTTCCCCGCCGCGGAGAATTAGACCTTTGTGGCGTTGACTTCAGCCCTATCCCCATTACCCTGATTCTTTGTCTCCCCCCCCGCTCAAGGATTTTCGTTCTCTGAACAACATATTTGCCACGGTGTCTTCAAGGTGCTAGTCACTGTAAGTCCGGTATTGCGTCAGCCACATCTTACACCTTTGTTTAATCCGCGTGCTATATCAATTTTATGCCTCCGCTGTTGTAGAGTTAGTGGCAAGTCACTTTCTACACTTCCAGATAGTGTCGTCCATACCAACCTCGCACCTGCGGCATGCTGCGCAGATCATACTGTGCCCTTACGGGCGACGGGTGTGACATGTGGCAATTGGCACAGTCCGGGGGGGGGGGGCGAGTTTGACGGTGACCATCGATCAAGAATACGGCGGTCAAACGGCGGCGGTGGGCCAGGCGCGACCCCACAGAGCGGCAACACAAATAAGAATAGCCCCACAGGAGGCGTAAGTAGGTTTCTTCTCGTACATCTTGCGCTGCAAGCCCAAAGTACTCAGAGATTTTAGCAGAAGGCAGTGGTACTCATTGTGACGATGTGATCGCCGCCGCTCCCAAAAGCGGCGGTCCGGGGCCGTGTGAAGCGTGACGTCTTATTTTGGGCAAAACACAGGTGCGGGATACAGCAACACGGGAAGCTTGAATGCGATGTCAGGTTCGTCTACAACCACCGGGCGGCGAAGGAAGCCTGTGCGACTCTCCACAGTATACTTGCCGGCATTCGCTGCTCATAGCTGCATTCTCAGCATGGTGGGTATCTCCGCGTGCGCAACATTCAAGGATGGCTAAAACGTACGTACTCTAGAGCAATCTGGTGCCACTGGGGTCGTTCTCTAAAGTGAACTCAAGCTTGGGCTGCACATCAAATATCGTGCGTCTATAGTACAGTCAAATACAGAACGAGCACGTCACAGTGGACATGCCGCATGTAATCGATGGTCAATCTGTATTTCGTTGAATACAGCAGGGAAACATCAGGTGCCAGCGTCGGTACTCTCGGGAGTTAGAGCTGTCAGCTCGGCCCGCAACAGCTGGACGCCGCTGAATTGATATCTTGTTCGAAATCTTCTGGATGTGATCATGATGATTGGCCGCACTCGGGATCGTCATGCTCTCATTTGGCACACGCTGCTAACACTCCGCGCGCCGATGTGCTGTCGCCAAGTTCACACTGCGATGCTTTGCAAGCGAAACCGCATTTCGGCCGAATGCTGTCCCAAGTAAGGAGGCGCACCGTCTGAAGTAGTCTAGTACCACGAACTACGACATAGCATAACAAGCAGGCGTTCCAACGAAGCCATTGTTTTGTCAAGAAAAGCATACGTGACCAATCTGTGACTAAGCTCGGTCTCCGGGAACAAGGTCGAATCCGGACGTCGAACGTCGGCGACACTCAATGGCTCCCCCGATCTATCCGAATCATAAAGCAGCATGTGTATGGCTGATACGCGCGTGTACGGAAGCAGACAACTCCGGTACGAGGAACGACACAGTGAGCATGCTGAACTTGATGATTCACGGATATGAGCGGCCTGTACGCCATTGAATGCGGGAGTGGTGGCGGGCTTTTCAGGAACTTCATGTGCCACCCTCGGGAGTCACGACGCCCCCGATCGTCACGCGGCGTTCGTACCCTGCACGCCGGTGTACGCTAGGCTGCCATTACCCGTAGACGATTATATTTTGTAAATCCGGAAACTCACTCGTACCGCACATGAGCGCACTGGTCGCTCAGATGCGAATGCCTTCAAATGTTGCCCGTCTAGGTCTGTCAAAGTAGCAGCGGGCGTCCGGAGCAAGCCGCTAAACCAAGAGCGAATAAGTAGTAGGCCAGGGCTGGTGCCACCAAGATCTTGGCGCGGATGATGTTCTCCCCGGCCCCGCCCGTATTTGCTTGGCAGCGATAATTGTCTCGTTCTGTACGCGTCAACTGTTGACTCCCGGGGTCAATGTCTCGACCGGCTCTCTTCGGGGCTTTAGGTAAGTAGCGCCATGAAAAATGACATGCCGAGCCACCCTTACGAGAACCGCGACGCCCTGAGCCTGAGCCTGACTCAAGCTACCACTCTGCCTGGAATTACCGCGCTGTAATTGCACTCAATGTGAGTGCAAGTCCTGCTATGTCAGTTAACGACACAGGCAGACAGTCATGCAACAATGTCGTGCTCGCCGTCCCAATTGCTCCAGATGACCCCCGCCACAGGCACCCCATCACACCACCGAAGGGCCTGCAGTGCGCCGGACGCTCCGCACGAACAAAGAGACGCTGCACCCACCGCGCGATGAAAAACACGGATACTGAACTGTGAGCGCAAACGGCACAGTATAAAGAGAGCAGTCATTTAACGTAGTTCAAAACAAGCAGTGCCTGCGACTTACTAGACCTCGCACACCCTTGCCTTCCATCACGATGCGCTTCCCCACCGGGTTCCTCCTCCTCGCCTCCATGATCGCATTTGCGACTCAAGTCCTCGCACTCTCCATCCGTGTGGATGCCGTCGACGTCGCAGCCCGCGAACTCACTGCGAGCTCTGTCAAGAAAGAAGTGGTGTCGTTCAGCCACGTTGGTAGCGAGGTCATGGCCCCGCACGATGTCGAGCTCGTCAGGCGTGTCGGCTGGACTTACAGAAACAGTCAGCGTCCTCCTCTCTGTGTCTCGTCAAACCGCTGACTCCCGCGCAGACCAGACGCTGCTGCTCGCTGTCATTGCGAAGAACGCATGTGAGTACGCCGCGTCACGTCGTGTGGGACGGACTCGCTGATTGCTCACGCCTAGTCATCATCAATGCCACTTGCGGGAGTGGGAACATTGTTACCTGCGCCATCGGGGCGACATACTCGGTCCTTACATTCTTTTTTGCTGCGTGGAAGTGGCAGGACCGCGACGACAGCGCCGAAGGGGAGAATCCGTACTTCATCGTCGGCCCCGCTCCGGGCAAGACCCTCCGTCAGAGGCTCACGACCGAGCTCGCAGCGGGTCAGTGGCACTATGTTGGCCACGTCCACCATCAGGGCGTGAATCACACGGTACACTACCTGAACAATGGTGACGGTGTGCACCAGCTCCGTGCGACGTACGTAGTAGCCTCATTCTTCTCCGTTAGCAATTACTGACCTACCGTCTCCACAGCACCGTGCCCTTCTGGAATGAGACCACGGCCAGCGGTGCACTTGACAAGCGGCAGAACGACGAGGACAACGACGGCGGCTTCGTTGCGGACTATTACTGGAACAGTGACAACGAGGGCCCGTACGATGCATTCGGCAGTACGTCGGACGGCACGAGCTACTTTGCGGCGAACGCAGGCGGGTATATGGTCAACACCGCGCAGGCGGTCTCGGCGTGCGCCGGCTTTACGGACGGGTCAGGCGCGCTCGACAACGGGATTCTCGCGTATGGTTGGAACAACCAACCGTATGAGTGGGAGGACGGACAAATGGGCGCAGAGTTTGGGATCTGCCAGAATGAGCTTGGCGACGGGCCACAGTGAGGCGAAGACTTCTGCATGGCGGAAAGTAACAGCATAACTAGAGGCAAATGTATAGGGCAGCAAGCTCAAATTTGGGAAGAGTCAACGCAGAAGATGGTGCTATGCTCGGAGCTCGATCATTATAATGCTAGTCAGATCTTGGCTGAATTTTATGAAGAATAGGTCATTAGTGTATCGTTACGATGTTAGTGCGGCCAAGTAGAGTGAAAACCTCACCCGCACATCTGCATTCAGCGCGACTGCGCCGCCATCCTTAGCGTCGCGATTTCATGGGCCGCGAGGCGTTGTTATCTCCCCGAAACCAATACTTATCATGAGCGGGTACGGAATCTTCGCGAGGGTCCATCAGATGATAAGTTTGTACAGAGTACTATACACTTCTCCTACATTTTGGTTCGACGTGCAATCACTGAGAGTACAGTTGTAGTTGTTCTAGTGTATCTTGAGGCCCACAGCCTCTTTTTAAACCCATGCTTACAGCACCTTTTCGACCAGGCCAACACCTTCTTTCTCAAGGATCTCGCGGATGGGGTCACAGATCTCCTTCGTGTACGGCGCGAGAACACCTGGGGTGCTGATGACCCCGTCGAGGACGAGTTGAGTTGCAATACCGCATGGGAGGCCAACGGTGAGCGCCATCGCGGAGTAGCCGTCGGGGACACCGTACGCCTCAAGCGTAGAGGTCAAAGTGTCGACCTTACCGTCCGCCCACTCGACAATGAACTTGTGCTGGAGCATGACGAGGTCGCGCTCGCCGCGCTCGTACTGCATCAGCGCCTCGAGGCGCGCACAGAGCGTATCAAGCAAGTTGCCTTGGCGTGGCTTAACCTTTTCAGACGAGAACATGCCGATCCAGCGCAGACCGGAGATGATACGTGTCGCCTCGGACTCTTCAGGAAAGACGCACTTCTCTTTGATGCGCGAAACGAGCGTGCTAACGATGAGGAAAAGCGTGAGTCGACGCGAATGAAAATAACGCGAGTCCGATACCGTACCTCTCCTGAGCATCGGCAGCGCCAATGGTCCTTTGAGTAACTTCTGCCCAGCTCAAACTCTCGTTAAGCCATTCCTTGGGAGTAGCATCCAACCAGCCAAGCTGAACGAGCGCCTTGATGAACTCGGGGAAGCCTTGGTAACGAAGCGTGCCACGTATGACCGTTTCGGCCTCGGGGATACGGTAGAACTCGCGGAAAGGGACAGAGTTGCGGTTCGGATACGCGACAAAAGCGAAGGCAGGGGAGATATAGTAGGGCTTGGCGTACTTCATGAGCTCTTTGCCATCGATGTCTTGCTGCTGACCGCTGTGAAGGAACGATGCACTGTTGAGCAGCGCAAGCAAGACGCCGCGTGACGACCAGGAAAACTTGTAGCCTAGTGGATTGCCCGAGCATTCGGGCGCCGGGAGACCACCACAATATGACAAGAACTCCTTGATCTGGAACACTCCTTAGATAAGATAACCAAATCGATTGACGCGGGACTTACCTTGCCACCCTTGGCGTGAACTTCATCAATGGTCTTAACGGCATAGAGGTGGTCAATACCGGGATCGAGACCAATCTCGTTCATTATGACAATGCCGGCCTCCTTAGCACTAGCGTCAAGCTCGCGCATAGCAGGACTGACATAACTGGTGGTCACAACGTGTGTCTTGCCTTTAATGGCGGCCTTGATGACGTCGGCATGATGGGTGTAAGGGATGAGCGAGATAACAAGGTCGTGCTCAGCGACAGTCTTTTCGAGCGCAGCGGTATCAGCGACATCGAGCGATATTGCTGACGCATTGCGGAGGTCAGCGACAAACTCTCGAGCCGTCTTGAGTGTGCGGCAAGCTATAAAGCATCAATGAGCTATAGCAGAGTGCTGATCAAATAGCACAGTACGTACCAACTGTCAGGTGATTAGAGGAATCGCGAACGATATATTCAGCTGCGGGCTTGGCAACGAAGCCGCTACCGAGAAGAAGGACCTTTTTCGTGGGCTTGCTCGAGCTCACAGCGGAGCCGTAGATAGGGCGTACATCCTTGTCCTCCTCAAGGAACGCGCGACTGAACTCAGGCAGGACAAAGGCAGCGCGATGGACTTTATCATTGTAGTAACGAGTCGGAGAAACCTGGCGAAGAGGTTCACGCATACTGCGGCCGCTCTCCTTGGAGCAAATGAGGAAGCCAATTTGACCAGACGGGTAGGTGGGGATCGTCGTATAGGCGTATTCGGCGACAGGGAAAATCTTGCCAACAGTGGCAACCAGCTCCTTGATGAGATCCAGGTGAATCCAGAGACATTCTGCTTGGGTCGCGATATGACCACCAGGAGCAAGCGCGCCGTGCAACAGCTCGAAGTACGGCTTCTGGAACAGCGACTCCGCAGGTCCAACAGGATCCGACGAGTCCGTGATGATGACGTCGTACGTGGACGTGTTGTCCGCAAGGAATTTGAACCCATCGCCAATGTGGATCGTAACCCGTGCATCGTCCAGAAGTGCAGACATGTGGGGAAGGAACTGACGAGAAACACGTACGACAGCCTCGTCGATGTCGCATAACACTACATTCTTTACGCTCGCATGCTTCAAGACCTCACGAACCACGCCTCCGTCGCCTCCACCGATGACCAGGACCTTCTCGGGGTTCGGGTGACTAGCGAGTGGGAGATGGGCGATCATCTCCTGGTAGGAGAACTCGTCTCGCTCGGTGCACTGGATGACACCATCGAGGACGAGAACATTGCCGTATGTTTCAGATTCGAAGACGAGGACGTCCTGGTAGAGGGACTTTTCGACGTGAAGGATCTTGCGGACCTTGAGGGTCATGGCCTGACCTGGCCATTGCGACGAGATTTCACGGAACCAGCCGTCTAAGAACGAAAACTGAGATCAAGTTGACATTTTCTTGTTTAGGATGACGTACCTCGAATGGACGGGTGAGTGAGGACAGTCATGGCAGAGGGTTGAGAACAAGACTGACTTATTCCAAAATTCTGCTTCTCGAGATGTAGCGCCCAATTTATAGACCTTACTTACTCAAGGTTAACGGCGGTAAGCGAGAAGTCTTATCATTGCCCAATCGACTATTTACTTAGCTTTCAACTTAAATCTTATGGAGAGCTTACGGGTGTTTATTGTCGTTCAACTGCTTATCACGTTGATCAGCGAGACGAGACACCCTTGGAGTCCGACGGACGCACGGCCCTGCTTAGGTACACACTAGTAGATACAGAACAGCACCAACTTCATTTGAGCAGAGCTATGCTCGCTTCGGCAATGGAGATACATGAACGGACGTCCTCGTGTTAGCGAACAAAAGTACGTGTAAAATACAGAGATACTACGCTCAGCTTGGCTGAGGCCAAGTCGTGATCTGCGCTCGCTCGCCCGTGAGCTCGAAGGAATGCACGATGTCTCCTGTAGTATCCACCCAAATGTTGTACCTCCCCGGGTAGAGTGCGCTGTCCCCGTTCTCGTCAATTCGCGCGATCGAGCCAAGCGTAACCTTCAGCTCTGCCGTCTCTGTCTGGCCGGGAGCGATACCCTTGACGCGCGTGTACGATACAAGCTGCTTCAAGGGTGCAGGCTGCGGGCCCGCGGTCGTGTTCGAGAATAACAGCGCGACGTAATCTGATCCGACTTTGCCTGTGTTCTTGACGTTGACGCGGAAGGTGAAGAGCGGGGCGAGATTAGTGAAGGAGACGCCGGCCGTATTGGCCTCTGAGACGAGGGTACTGATGGCGAAGCTCGACGGCGGAGTAGGCGCCCAGTCGAGAGAGAATGTAGTATAGTGGAGCCCGAAACCGAATCCGAAGATGGGCGTGCCGGTGAACCACTTATAAGTGCGCCCTGGCGACGTGCCATTCGGACGGAGAGCCATGTCGGTCATCGGAATCTCGTTGACATAGTCGGCCGGGTATTGGGTAATTGGCAGACGTCCAGCTGGGGCGATCTTGCCCGTGAGGATATTGACGATGGCAGCGCCTCCGCTCTGGCCTGGATATCCACCCCATATGAGAGCGTTCACCTGGTCATCTCGTGAGAAACTTCGCAAATAGATATTGGGCACAGCCAGCTCACCGCCTTGTTCGACTTCAACGACGACGAGTCCACCTGGCCTCCACCCATCTGCAGCACAACGAATGGCTTCCCGACCGCTGCAAGCTGCGAGACGAGATCGAGCTGGTTCCCGGGCCAGGTGATGATCTCACGGTCGTTACCCTCAGACTCGATGGTCTCATCGATACCGCCGGCATATATTACAGCGTCGGCCACCTGCACAGCGGAGACAGCTGCGGCAAACCCGCTGTCGTCGGTGCTGTTGATAGCCGTCCCGTTGGCGAAGGTAACTTGGAAGCCGGCATCTTGAAGCGCCTGGAGCGGGCTGACGAGGAATGGCGCAATACCTTGGTAGTTCCCCTGCATTTGAGTTGTCGCATTCGCCCAAGGGCCGACGAGCGCGATGCGTTTAATGGCGCTGGACAAAGGGAGAGTACCATCGTTCTTCAGAAGGGTTACACCTTCTTCTGCCGCAGTCAGCGCAAGGGCTTGAGAGGAGGGAGTGTTGACGTCCGACCAGCCAAGCTGACGGAACGGCTGTTCCGCCGGTGAATCGAAGTATCCTAGCCTGGTGACATTAATAAACACGATACATACAGCATATGTCGAGGAGCCTACCTGACCAGCGACCTATACAATCGAATCATGGAGTTCTTGATGTCGTCTTCGGTGACAAGGTTCTGATCAACGGCATCGACGAGTGTTTGCGAGTATGTCGTGCCACAGTCGACGTCTGTGCCTGCTTTAAGCGCTACCGCCGAGGCGTTTACTAGCGTTGTCGTGTATTGGTGCGGACTGAATATGTTGGCGACCGCATCGCAATCAGAGGTGATCCAGCCATCGCCTAAACCAAAGTGACCGCGGATGATGTCCTGGAGGAGGTACGAGTTCGCGCATGACGGAATACCGTTGACGGCGTTATATGAACACATAACGCTTCCGACATGCGCATCGCGGACGCAGCTCTGGAAGGATGGTGTGTAGTACTCGGCAAGGTCCTGCGTCGAGATGATAGCGTTGAAGGCCATTCGACTGTTGCCCTCCCAGTTCTCGAGGTCGTAGCCAGCGAAGTGCTTGCAGTCCGCGATGACTTTGTAGTACGGATCCGGGGATAGTCCACCTTGGAGACCAGTCACAAGCTGATAGACGTACTGCGCGATATGGAACGGATCTTCGCCGGGCGTCTCCTGGCCGCGACCCCAGCGGGGGTCTTTAAATGGGTTGATATTAGGCGTGAAGAAGTCGAGGCCTGCGCGTCCTGCGTTGTTAAAAGCGCGGGCCTCCGTACTGATGACAGTCGCAATACTAGTTACGAGGTCGTCATCGAAGGTGGCACCAAGAATAATGGGCTGCGGGAACGAAGTCGCGGAGCTGAATGGTGAACCAGGTACTGAAAAATTGGTACCAGGACTCAGCGCGACGCCGTGCTGATAGCGCATATATCAGAGATAGAATAAGATGAAGGGAATGCAGATGTACCAATGCTTCGCTCCACCAATTGTACGGCGGTAGCCCTAGCCGAGGCACGCCTGGTGAAGCGTTGACCGTGTTGTTGACAAGCTCCTCGAGCGTCAACGCATCGACAAGAGCATTCGCACGGGATGTGGGATCCGCAGAAGGGTTACAAACGAGGTTGTCCTTCAGCGGTCCATTTACACAGTCGGGGAAGGCCGCGAGTGCAGCCCGAGACGCCGCAGCAAAGACGACCAGAATGCCCTTGTACGAAAATCGGGGCATCGTTGAGGGGGTCGAATTCAGGTATTCGAAAAGCATCGAGCTTAAATTTAGCTAAATAGCCATGTCGGCGTCCACGAGACGGCGGGCGGGACAGAAAGCGGGCCTACGGTACGACGGTAATGGTCATATGTACGCTTGGGGAGGGCGCAGGATTGACTGCCGTTTAGAAAGGCGCATGCCTTAGTAAGTAGTAAACGCACGCTACGAGGGTCTGGTAGGGTCTGGCAGGGTGGTGAACGTTTTGCAGGTGAATGGGACAATTATCTCCGTCGATGAGCTTCCTGTCTTGGCTCGTAACTCCTCGGCACGATGATTGATGTCAGTCACTCGAGCAATAGCTTTCGCCATACATGGTCTCCTGCGATCTAAACCCCATCAAGGAAGCAAGGTCAGCTGTAAGACAGGGTGACGATATGCAGGGCGGAGTCCTCAGACGAGGACAGTCACGAGGGCAGCAAGAAATGCACAGTCGTGGGTAGGCGGAAATACCAGCGAGTTTTGTAGGCGCCATCAGAATAACGAGAGTGCTGCCGCCTCTTCCTTCACGATGTCAGCAGGACGAAAGGGAACGGTCCGGAAGAGATGACGTCATGAGATAGTTAAATTCGCTACAGATCTTCCTACGAGGTTCATAGTAAGGTCAGTTCGACGAGTTGGATCTGCAGGTGCAATAGAAGGGGGGGATCGGGGTATCGTCGCGAGCTCCGGAGATCAGCACGCACTGTTTTGCCCCATGCAATCGAGTTCTCTCTGAGCTCCCCTCCAATCGTGACAGTAAGCACCAAGACTTCCACTACATGAGGCAGCCAGAACCTCCGAGTTATCGGTGCGTCGTTGCTCGCGTCGGGTAGGCGTAGGTTGTCGAGTAGCCATAGAGACAGTGGGCATGCGTGGAACACGAAGCGGACCGTATACGGTATTATGCAGCACAGACAGCAGCTAGCCTGGGCTGAGCCGCGTCATTGATGCGACTCGGAAGCATAATGCAAGGTCCATGGTGATCGTGCAGCGGGGTTGGCAAGGGAGAAGTAGCGTGAGAACGAGGTATCGTGTATGGCTACGACTTTGTGGCACTAACCTTAACCACAACCGGCTACTACAAAGCGACAAGTCATGATTGCACCTTCGCCTACCATTGGGCAGCCTGTATGCATAATTTCAGAAAGGGAGAATTCAGATAACACTACGGGCATGAGCTGGTTTCAGATCACCTGAAATGTCCTGGTCAAGCCATCAAAACTGTTTCATTTTCGAAGACTTAACCGGGGCTTTCTGGTGTCCCAAAATGATAGATTTGCTACCACTTTCGTAGCCATTTGCGGTGCAGGAAAATGATAAATTTTGTGTAGCCTGAAATGAACCTGAAATGACTCAATATGGCTACATTTCAGTACAGCAAAGAGTTCATGTTTCAGGAGACTTTGTGGCGCATTTCAGGACATCTGAAAGAACATATGTAGAAATCATTTCCGCCTCATGTTTGCAATGAGGAAAGGTCCGGGCAAGGAAAACTTTTGATGGTCCTGAAATTGCCATTTCTGATGGATTTTGAAGCTATTTTATGAGCTAGAAGATTTTTACCTGAGATAAGTCAGAAACGTCCTAGAAATGTACTATAAATTTGCCGTAAATGGTAATTTTAGAATCATTAAAAGTTTTCCTTGCCCGGACCTTT